GCGTTATCATGGAGCAATAATGGTGAACATCGATCCATGAGTCGGGGCTGTTTCACTGTAAGTTTTGCTATCATTGTTCGGAGTTCGGCACAGTATAGTGAATAACACCATACTGACTACCAAACCGTTACCATTACCTTTTTATTGGTAAGCTTTGCTTTAGGATACTATTGCGGCGTTTGCAGCCATTGCATTTTTCGATTACGGTTATCGCAAAGAATCCACTTTTCATCACATGCCACAATTCGATCCAATATTCCTTCATTTCTATATCTGTATCATATTTTTTGTTTTATTGATTTGACGCAAATGAGTCAATATTCTTGGTAAGGGTAATGATAAACCATGCCGCTAATTCCTGGGTAGTTTGGCTCGGATCGGCTTCCACCGTCTCTTTCAATTCATTGTTATTCACATGTGTGGGTAGTCTTCCGGTTCATTCTTTAAATCAAAATTTCTATCACGAAGGCGTTCAAGCCAAAATTGCACGGTGCGTTCATTAGCAGTCCCCTCTCCAAACGCAACATTGATATTGCGAGCTGTTTCTGCAGCATTAGTTCCGCGTAGGAACTCGTATTCAAAAATCACTCGAATTTTCAGTCTCCCATCTTTCTTGTCTAAGCTGAATAAAATAAAAACAACTGAAAGTCGATAATCGAATGTTGCACATTTTTTAAAAGAAGAACCTCATAAGGTACCTACCATTTGAAAAAAATTCACTCAAAAATCTCAAACCATGAAGGTTCTATGTCAATTCGAAGTACCTACCTATTACAATAAAACGGCAATTTCATACTTTAACCCCTATTATTTTTGTGGCACTACCGCAGATTCCGTTAACCTCAACTTTTTTTAAGTGACTATTACCTACATTACATTGGAATACTGTATTATTAGTTAAGCGTTAGGTTACTCACGGTAGACCGTTAGAATAACATTCCAAATAGATAAGTATAAAATATTAAATACAGTGTATTGGTGAGTTCAACCATTTATACAGATCTGTCAAAGAGCAATGTGTTTTATTATCTGTCATTTACACAATTTACAAGCCAACCTGATTGAAATCGTGTAAACACTGCTTTTACTGATGGAAGGACCTCTTGTGAGTCCGCATTGCACTTGCAAACGCATCAACAACTGATGACAATCCAATAATTTCATAGCTTCGCTCATTTTCCATGACCAGTATCAACAGGATATAAAAAGATGAAATCAAATGTGTTTCAGTGATTCAGTTTACTATTTATGTGTCCTTTTATTTAAGTTTTTAAATATCTGAGCTTCGTAATTTCGAGCCTTATGTAGGGTCAATGGTAAGAGATCTCGTGGACGAATCCCCATGCGCTGGACTGATCAGGTGAAAGACCTTACGGAAACGCCACTTAACGAGCGCGTGCGCCGGGCCTCGGTTCGCAAACTATGGAAAACATCTGTCAAGGCTTTAATAAGCAAGAATTCCACATGACCACGACTGCCCTGCCAAGAGCAACCGATTATCATTATGTGAACGCATAATTTTGTATTTTATTCCCTACCTACTCACTGGTATCTTCGAGAGGCTATTCCAGATTCACCGGGATAATAGGCGAGCTGACGGGGCTCAGCCTCAGAGAGTTTGCTAACATCTGCTGTAGCAAGAGCCGTGCTTCGCGGAATCTACCACCGGATCAGAATGGCGACCCACTGAGAAAATCCGGCGAGAAACTCTGGGATGTGTCTATTATTGTTTCAATCACACAACTGAGTACAGTGTACAAGGATCAAAGTCATAGAGTGTGACTAATTTTTTTTTCCTACCTAAGCTGGTAGCCTTGAGAGGCTATTTCAGCGTAACCTCAACTAGTAGGTGAGCTTACGGGGCTCAAACCTGACAACGTTGCCAACACGAACCCTAGCAAGAGCCGTGCTTCGCAGAATCTGCCACCGGATCGGAAACGCGACCCACTGAGAAGATCCGACGTGAAACTCAGTGGGCTACGATAGAAGGGAAGGGGGAGTGCGGGCTGGCAGTAAACGTGTTGCGACTTGTTAAGTGTTCATGTCTTAAAAGTAAGATTTTATGCACTTCAAAATGTCTCAATAGTTCTTCATGTAAAAATAATAAAATAAAATTTTCTTACTGTATTCTGAGAAGCCAGTAGATCGACTTCCTATTTTTACAGAATTGTTTTGTTGCCTAAACTGTTTAACTGATTACTTATGAGTAAATTAGATTATATTATGTTAGTTAGCCCAGAAGCACTGCTCTTACTAGGGCAGTGTTAGCAACACTCCGATTTGAGCCCCGTGAGCTCACCCACACGTTAGGGTAAAGCTGAAATAGCCTCTTAAGGCTATCAGCATAGGTAGGAAAAAAAAACCTGCTATCGTTTTTTACACACTTTGCCGGCAGCGCATTCGGTATTGTATAGAGTGCATCTCTCTCTCTCTCTCTCTCTTCGATCGGTTCCTCACTGCTGAGGATCGTGACTCCGTCCGGTTCCGTCAACCAGCTGTCTCTATCGATCCTGTTTTGTAGCTTGGTGGAGAGCGCCGCTAACAGGTATCCTCAATTCCTCCGCTATTGGGTCCGACCATCGTTTGGGACCTCTACCCCTAGGCCTTTTTCCCTCTATTTTACCGGTCACCACAAGGCGTTCCAAATTGCTGGTATTCCTGCGTGCAACATGACCAAAATACCGCAATATTCTTTGTAGGCAGGTTGTGAACGGACATTGAGTCTTTTCTATTTTTAACTGCCTGAGAATAGAGATGTTGGTGCAGCGGGCCGTCCATGGTATTCGGTAGCATACGTCGCGTCGCCAACACCACATCTCAAAAGCGTCGATTGTCTGTCTATCTGCGGCTTTGAGTGTCTAGAATGAACAGAATGCCTAGGCAGCGTATAAAATGAAAAATATTTCATACATTAAATTAACGTTTTAGGTATTCTATACATTGTCTAGGTATTGTATAGAATACCGTATTATACAGATTGCCGGTAACATATATATTGATCGCGGAGTGATCACTTTTTCCATTCTAAAAGGTGTTGTGGGATTGACGTTGGCACTTTATTCTCAAGGCAAACAGCATGCACGTTGTGTACCTATTCAATGGGCTTTGGTAGCATCACAACGTGTGGGCTTTCAACTCGTCCTCCCACCGCCACCTAATAAAAGTCTCAATAATCCAGACATTAATAGTTCTTCTGTTGGCAAAAATCAAAATGAATTTAGAAAAAAATTACCAGTGTAGGTAGTGATAACGTGAATCAATCTGTTAACGGTACGTTTCCATTAATTTGATCATATACAAAGGCGCCATTCAGTCGCTGCGTAATTATAAGATTGGTTCTGTGTAGGTACATACGTGTTTCGTAACATTATGATTTTCGTGTTTTAGACCAGGGATCCTCAAACTGTGCCACGGCATTGGCGTGTACCAAATTTTACGTTAGTATAATATAGGTCCAAATAATATAATAATTTTTACATAGTATTGTAGGTACCTAAATAAGTTTTAAACTCATTTTTTTCTTTGTGCGACGTCAAATTTTGTACTCGTTAAAAGTGTACCGCGAACAGAAAAGTTTGAGAATCACTGTTTTAGATTAATTAGTTAGAGGGCATCCATTCATTACGAGAGCTCAAAATGGTGGTTTCTAGAAAGTTCTCATCGCTTCTCCTTGTTCGTTGAAAATCTCACGGAAATTACGTTTTTTTTTTTTTTTTTATTGCTTAGATGTGTGGACGAGCTCACAGCCCACCTGATGTTAAGTGGTTACTGGAGCCCATAGACATCTACAACGTAAATGCGCCACACACCTTGAGATATAGTTCTAAGGTCTCAGTATAGTCACAACGGCTGCCCCACCCTTCAAACCGAAACGCATTACTGCTTCACGGCAGAAATAGGCGGGGCGGTGGTACCTACCCGTGCAGACTCATAAGAGGTCCTACCACCAGTAATTACGCAAATTATAATTTTGCGGGTTTCATTTTTATTACACGATGTTATTCCTTCACCGTGGAAGTCAATCGTGAACATTTGTTGAGTACGTATTTCATTAGAAAAATTGGTACCCGCCTGCGGGATTCGAACACCGGTGCATCGCTTCAACACGAATGTATCGGACGTCTTATCCGTTAGGCCACGACGACTTTAATTGAAGCAATATCTTGTTGATATGGCCAAATGTAGGCACGCACGGGTAGGTACCACGATCTGACCAATTTCTGCCGCGAGACAGGCGAGACAATATTAAATTTCATTCACTTATTAATGAAATTTATGAAATCATAAAAATATAAATATCTACATATCTCGTATAGGCACATTTCCTGTCACTAATTTGTTGACATAACCTTGTTATTTACCTACGTCATAAATAATAAAGCATTTAAAACAAAAGTAATAATTTACGTTTTGTTTTTTTAAATCATATCAACAATCTAGTATGTACTTATAAAATATAATTTTGTTAAACTTTGATTTAGGCCGTTAAAATTTCTCGGCGACAAGATAATCTAATAAGCACTATCTATATTTAAATATTATTAATAAATTATGTCAATAATACAAAAGCAGCAAAGTTATTACGTTGTTTGTTAACAATATTCTACAGAGTTATACATGAAAAGCGATTTAACACTACTTCGAATAATGTATCGTCCCACAGCAGTTGCAAGTGTTGCAACATTGTCTATCTATCTACAGATGTGCACACAACACCGCATATTCTACTAGAGCACCTGCCCCACCTGGCTGTGCTAAAACCCGTTATTAAAAAAAATACTTTAAGATTATTCTATACAATACGAACGACAAAATGGTCTTGAAAAACCAGACGATGTTAGTTTTGGCAATGCAAGGTAAAGGAGCCTTTGAAATTTTTCCCCGGGGTGTCTTATTTCGTAAAAAAAAGGGAAACCTGGAAAGACGCCATGGGAGCGAAACGTAATGTTAATAACTCACGCCTAAATCACAAACAAAAATCTTATTCGTTTGCCTGTCTTAAACAAACTCAGATTTGTTTATATTTTACGATAGGTACTTTTATTTGGATAATTTATACGCTTGATACATTATGTAGGTTAGCTCTGAATCGTGTCTAGGACTAGGCTGCTACACTCGCCACTCAGTCAGGTACCTATCGAAGGGATTTCGCCGACTTTCGTAATCTTGTGGAAACTTGGGCCCGACGAATGCCGCGACGAGCTGGCAACGTCGCACGCTCGACCGACGACCTCGTGTTATCGCCACCCGCGGTGACGCGTTACACTGAAAAGGTCACCACTCGCTGCGACGCTTGCCACCGTCCTCCGCTGTCTTTGCCATCTAAACAATCACTGTTTCGACATAGAACACCATAAGCACACCTTCAAAAAGTATTATCTTGCGACGTGGTACTTTTGTGTGGCATCGCTCGCGTTCCCCCTCCGCGCGGCTCCGCCTCCCCGGCTCAAGCGCCACCGCGCGGCCGGACCGCGCAACTTACACGTCGACTATACAGCGTTGCCATTCCGTATCTATAATTTTGCTGCACGTAAATTTTCGAGCAAAACAGTTCAATGGACTTTTCGAAAACTACGAAAACGCGTCGTCAAACTTAAAAAGTTATGTGTAACTCAGGGTATTTTAGGTGAATGTGTATAACTAGTAGTTTTTGTTCTATTTGTGTTATTCTAGTGTTCGTTTCGTGTCGGTGCTTGTTGTCCGTGAACAAAGTCCCGTTCGGAGCATCAACTAAGTTTTTCCATTAAAAGGTGAGTTTTTTAATGTTTCCGACTGTGGCTAGATATCATTTACGTTTATTGGCATTCTGAGAATAAGTTTTTAAAATTCTAATATAGTTGTTTCGAATGGCACAATAATTTCGATTCAGTCAAAATAAACTGCGTAAAATAGCATATTGAATGGTTTTCTCTCGAACCTTGGGCTAGTTGGGTTATATAAAAGCGTGTGAACGTCGCGCTGATGCACGTGCTGAGGACATCTCTTATGTAAGCTTAACGATAAGCCTAACGTGATAGTGCGGTGGTTTGTTGGTATTTTCGTCCGTAAATGCCCTTTGGCCACAAGTTAAAATAGCGCATGCATCCGTCACAGAGTGCCAGGTCGCTCATGGTGGCGCGGTGAATGACCAACCTCGATCGAACACCGCATAAAAAAATCGTCGTGTTTCAGTCCTGTGTCTTTTCACGCCATAAAACTATGTCGAAGAACCGGTTTTGTTGGAATTGCGTTTTAAGTTAGTGTAAACTGCGTAGATCGAAAAGACATCGTCGTTAATTGTCGTTCACATTAATAATTCAATCAAATTACCCTCCTACCTACCAGCGTGAGTGCGTCGAAAACAAATTCTAGAACATTTGGAAACAGCGTGGAACACGCTATTGTTCCCTAAGCTTGCAAAGATCTTGACTATTCCTAAGCTACAATGTAATTCCTTCATTTTTAAGTTAAAACACACATACAGACTCATAAAATCTGTAAAATAATTAATTTTCTTTAAAATGCTCACCTGACCCTGACCACGTTTTCCTTACTCATATATGCAGATAGAAAACTTAAATGGAACATTATTCGGTATTAAAATCGTCAAAAGACTACTAGTGGTAGGGTTCACACGACCCATCTATCTTACTAATTTCTATCATGACAATACGATATAAATAAAAATAAATAAAATAGAATCAATTTCATACAAAGCTCATTAAGGCTTGGTGGAGTGACGATCTATGCAGGATGGGTGGTAAGAGCTGGGGATGAGAGAAGCCGAGAATCGTGATCAGTGCCGTGAAATTGGAGAGGCCTATTTCCAGAGGTGGACTGCTATAGGCTGATGATGATGATGATGATGAGCTATTTCATTAGTACCTAACACGAGTCACGCCGTAGCCCGAGTTCTGTTTAATTCGTTTATCTGACTCTGAAACCCATAAAAGAAAATTCTAGTCTTGGGGCCATTGAATGTGATAAATTATGTGATACCTAATATTCAGTGTTACTCCATAAAACCATCGAGTGAGATTAGCTAACCGAAATTATTTTTTGATACATTTTCGTACTTACAATAAAGGCTAGTAAAAGCGAGATAGACTAGAAATGACGTGACTTCATTCATGATCGACTCGTTTTTTTGGAAATTTAGCCCGAAAAAACACAAGGCGGGCAGTAAAAACATAAAAACCTTTTTTTAAATAAAATATTAAAAAAAAAATCCTTTATTTACCCGTACGTAAAAATAACACACAAAATATGCGTTGATTAAAATAGTTAAAATAGTAAACCTTGAGGAGTATTGTGCTTCAATTCTCGGAACTTGATTGTTCAATCTCATATCGTAATTGATAAAAATATTTAACAAACTAAAAATCATGAAATTTTCGATAATATGTATTCTTGATGATGAGATGCCCGATTTACTCGTATCGACCGATGCAACTATGCTGGTGTTAAAATATCGCAGGATTCCAACTTTTCTATTGAAATAATGCTTGACTGACAAGATTGACTGACTGACTGACTTGACTCGTGCGTGACATTCACCAATGATTTCCACGATGTAGGAATAACATCGTATAGTAAAAATGTAACCCGTAAACAAAAATTGCGTGGTTACTATACAATTGAGATACAGACCTCAAGCCTCAAGGCGGGTGGTGATGTCTATGGGCTCCGGTAACCACTTTAAACTAGGCTGGCCGTGAGCTAATTCACTCGTCTCAGCAATAATAATAAAACAACAAGAGTACTTTAAAAAAGTCGTAACGGTAGATATAAAAGTCTCTAGACTCACCTCTTTAGTTGCGACAGCGAAAAGTTTCGCGGTTATAGCCTGCGGTTTAAAGTGCTTTGTACCACAAGTTCTTGATTTTGAAGTTAGGCACTTACGTTATCATCTCAATATTAATGATGAAAATTATTCCAAAACGCAATGTTCAAAAAAAAACTAAATTGATTCTAGAAATAATCAATGAAGTAGGAAACCTATGGAAATGAAACGTCAACCAAAATTTCGTGCCACTGTGACGTCATCTGGCCACAAAACATGGCGGCTTTAGTGCTGTACAAAAGATTTCAATGTTATCAGGTTTTATCGATAAACGTTCTTGGCTCATTTTATTTTAAATATTGTTGAGTATTATTTATTTGTAGAATTTATACTTTAATGGGAAGTAAGTAGGTATATTGTTATGTGCAAATATGATATGATTTAGATGGGTGAAATCTAAGACAAGTTCGTCCTTCGAATTTGCCAAGTAAACGATATGATGATTTTTAAAAGTTGCTACACTGATTTTATAAAGTTGTCGTTTGTCGCAAAACATAAAGATATGGCGTAGTTCAAAGCCATCAGCCCATTTCTAGCATGCTAAATGTTATCGTATTTTGAGTACGTGTTTTTCTTAGACTATTACAATCTATTTTAATTGTTTTGCTGACTCTAAAGTCCGTAACATACTACCGCAGCGCACCCCAAGGAAGGTGCGCCGCACCATTTGAATCACTTTCGCTTGAGAGTGATTCAAATTTTAAACTTATCAAGGGACCGCGTGAAAAAAAAAACACCTACAGAACATTTATTCATTAATTACAAACGTCATTCCTTGTGACTTCCTCTCTAAAATCACTTAATTATTAAATATTTAACAAATTTACAATAGTGTTTTACTCACTGCGGAATAAAACTATTTTATTTAAATAGTTCCGAAGAGATTTTGTCGGTAGCCTTTTTCCCGAAATATCTAAACAGAATGTCTAAATATGTTTTGATGACATATTTTAAAGTGGTATTTATGATTAGTGTCATGATCAATAGATTCCGACCGAAAAATGGATTTTTCGGATGAGGGCTCCATAATGAATTTAAATACATATAGATAATAGTTTTAGGGCATCGACTTTCTTGAGATCCTATAAAATACGTTTTAATTATTATTTTTGTATGTTTTAAGCATGATAAATTATGAAATTTTATATAATCAATCATATTAAATCGATATCAAAGTCAATAAATAATGTACAACCCAAAACAGACGGCCGAACTGACGTGACAATGACATTTGGCGCGCTAAACATGGCGGATTTTCGGCCTCATTAGACGGAGACGGAGATATTTACGTATATTCATGTTTCATTTTATGTACGCACTGAAATACTGTTATATTGTTTTCCTGCGAGTTAAACTGCTGAGTAAGAACGAGATAGATATATGTTTATGTATGTGCCTTCAAAATGGGTGCTATTTATATAAGCAATTGTACGTATAGAACAATATGTCGTGTCCCTACTATATAGGTCTATGGAAATAATGCATTAAAAAATCGTTTTAATTCACCTGTCAAAATTATCGCAGCTGTCAAATGACGTCACTTTTTTTTTTAAATATATTAAGTCCAATGGTTCGTGATCGCACGAACTGTAAATGATTTAATGCATGATGTCATAAAACGTTAGACGACTGCTTCGAGCGAGCGAGATATCGAATACAAGAATATTTTCTTAAAATTAATTCGTCTTAATAGGTATTAAGAATTGTTTAAGAAATTACTCATCACTAGTGTTCGTGAGTTGTACGTGACGTTTTTACAATTGCGGGTTCTTTAATACGAAATTTTATTTATACCATACGACACAAAGCCAGGGCGTTTCACGCGAAAAATCTGTATCTATCTATCTATCTATAAACCAATAATAACTTATATCACAACCCCTTTTCCATTCCCTTATTCCTATGTTGAATGTGGAGATAGAGATGTCCTGGGTCAGCACCGATTAGTACCAACCTTCTAGTTTTTGTCGTGAAAAGCCTAACGCTAAGAGTGAGATGCCCTTGAATCTCAACTTAATAAAATCTATTTCGAAATTCTCGAAAAAACTCATAGTTTCACTGACAATCGAACTATTTTAAACCAACTTTTAAAAAAAACGGGGGTTGTCGATTTTGTTGAATTTTTTTGTTTAGTTTATCTTGGAACTGATTTTGATGATTCTTGGTCTTGTGGTCCCATTTAAATTTTATCAAAATCTGGCTAATAAGTTTTTGAGTTATCCTTCTTAACCCTTTGAGTTTGAACCGTCGATAAATAGACTCTCTATTAATGCGTATAAAGTGCGGATGAATATATATTCGTTGGCGATAAGACCGTCCATTAGAAAATAACAAATTTCCTTAACTTAATTTAATTAGAGTTCATAATATCAGAAATAAACGAAACATTGTAACTGACGAACACTGTCTGTGCTGTACGATCAGTCGTTACGATATTCTTACACACTTTTAAATCATACGATAAATCGTTAAGTATTTTTTGTTTACAAATTGCCCTATTTACTTGTTATTCCTAGAAAGGCTGTCGATAAAACCAAAATAACTCCCGAGCACTATATTGGAAGTACAATACTGGTAAAAATATAAGTGTGTCTTTAGATATACAAACGTTTTAATCAGTGGACCTGTGTGCTTAATGCGAGTTTTTTAACGTTCTCGATAGCGTAAAAGTTAACTCAAATTTGTATGCAGTTGGAACAGCGCCCCTAGCAGCAAACGTAGGCAAACGTTCCAACTCCATACAATTTTTTTTCTTTTACGCTATCGACAACATTAAAAAACTCGCAATAAGCACACTGGTCCAATATCCCGCATGGACGTCGGAAATTCCCGGGGCACAACCAAGCCGCCGCTTTCTTGTTTTCAATACGCAATGGGATGACCTACTGACATAATTAAGATCGTTACGGGGACTTTGCTGGCGGCAGCCCGAGCCCTATTCCGTGTACATGTCGTACGATGTTTCCAGCCAGAAGGTTCTGCAAAGAATCGCTTGAGTTTTCCACGTGACTTTTACTATAAATGTTAAAGAATATACGCAGCAATACAAGGTACCTATCTAAGTCTAAGTAATCTAGTAACCTCGAGGGGTTATTCTAGATTCACCGAACTAGTAGGTGAGCTCACGGGGCTCAAACCTGACGACGTTGCTAACACGTAACCTAGCAAGAGCCGTGCTTCGCAGAATCTACACCCCCGGATCGGAGACGCGACCCACTGAGAAGATCCGGCGAGAAACTCAGTGGGCTTGGGAGCTTCTAACTGATAACTCAACAAATGGAATGTTCTAGATTATACGCACACACAGGTTAAATATAAAATGCTTTCCACGGTAAATTGCTCGTTGAATTTATATTTAACTTGACCGTTGAGAATTTGTTTAAATATTTTACTTTAATACCATACAGTAGATGATAATGGATTTTTAATGTCACCACTCAAGTCGAGACTGTGGCCCCACACGTAAGCAAGGCCGTTCTTCTTTATGTCGATGGAATTAAATGAATTCACTGTACGTGTCATCATGTCTACTAAAATAGCACTATTCCATAATTTCAAATGGGTGTAGTAACAGGCAAGCAAGAGATTCGGGTATAGGCAACAGCGTTCTTTGAGTATCTGCGATCGCCAGCCCTATCTGTGGTGGTAGGCTTTTTTTTTCCTACCTAAGCTGGTAGCCTTGAGAGGCTATTCCAACGTAACCTTAACTAGTAGGTGAGCTCACGGGGCTCAAACCTGACGACGTTGCTAACACGAACCCTAGCAAGAGTCGTCCTTCGCAGAATCTACCACCGGATCGGAAACGCGACCCACTGAGAAGATCCGGCGAGAAACTCAGTGGGCTGTGTCTGAGGGTTAATTTACTCGTCGACCCCTTCGTCACAAGCGATGGGTTCGACGAGAACGGTGATCGGTGCTTGAAGTACCTAGAAGCACCCTTCATTGGTAGTCTAAAAGGCTATTTCCAAATACCCTATGTCTGGTAAGTGACCTCAAGACCTGAGACAGTAAGTATCCTAACACTGGTCGTGAGGAAGAGCAGTTCTTCGCAGAATATACCGTTTGATCTAAATTGAGATCCACTGACAAGATCCGCCGAGAAAAGCCAATGGCACCGTTTGGTTAGGACTATTCTGTAATTTTTTACACCGATGCAGTACGTACACACTTCGACTTCAAACTCACGTCTCGAAGTGTCTCGAAGGCTCCTGTGACCAGGTTAATACGAGATCGGTCGAGATCAACTCGTTTAAGCCCATAAAAACCTATCAGACAATCATTACCACGGTATTATTTAACGGGATCTTAACATTTCATGAATTCCCGGTATTTTGCGCTTACAAACGCCATGATCTCGGCTGGACTGAAAACTGTGAGCGTGATTTTAGGACCAGACACATTTCAAGTCCGTATTTCGGTGCTAGCACAGAAACAACGTCATACATTAACTGTATCGGCAGTTCGTATATTATAGCCATTGTACATAAACTGAGACCTTAGAACTGATATCTCAAGGTGGGTGGCGCATTTACATCCTAGATGTCTACGGGCTCCAATAACCACTTAACACCAGGTGGGCTGCGAGCTCGTCCACCCATCTAAGCAATAAATATTAAAACAATTAACACAGTGTAAAGTTACGTGGTAAGTGAACGTTTGTATGTTTGTCCGCAGGTTGCCGGTGCAGTGTGGTGCGGTGTTGTTGTGTGTGTCAGTGTGTGTGTGTGTCGAGGCGAGAGGGCGCGCGAGATGGCGCGTAGCTAGCGATCTGCATCGTGCAGGCATGCGCGCCGCCTAGCCATGCCACCGGCCCGACGCCAATGGCGCAGTACTCACAAAGGACACAGCCAATGCACAGGTACCATTCACCATAAACACATCAACTGTACCTCGCTTCTATATAAGCTCTAAGCTTCCGATACAATTGACAACTATGGTAACTAAAAGTACAGGTGTTTTAGTGTAAGTCAGGGGCTCCCAAACTTATTTTGTCTACTACCCACTTTGAAAATAAATCATTATTTAGCGCCCCCCCTTTTTTAACCTACTTAAAAATCACTATAGCGAGAGCTCAGTCGGTGTCTAAGAGTCCTGCTAAATGAAATTACAAATCGCCTACCAAACCTCTACACAACACCCCCATTTTTTTTTCTGGGTCTCTTACCCTTTAGGCCTGCAGCGCCCACAAGGGGGCATTATCGCCCACTTTGAGAAAGGCTGGTGTAAGTCAACTTGGGCCTAGGTACATTTAAAATGATCGCACGAACAGTGCGTCTGCGACTATTACTGGGGCGCGATGTACAAATAAAAGAATTTCATTCGACATGTCCTTGACGCATATCAATGTATACCCAATAGCAAGCAAGCGCTATGTTATTCGAATGTTGAATAACAATTTCTAATAAATAAAACTGCTATCGTCAAACATTCCATTATAATTCCTTATAATTATTTCCTTATAAGGAATATTGCGTATTAGGCATAATTAATATCTATTTCTGAACAATTACCGGACCGTTGGCGTGACACTTAAGTGTAAATTGATCACACCTTGGATCTGAATATCATTCCACAAAATATTCCGAAAGCATATTTTTTTCTTTAAACACATAACTAGGCTTAATATCGCAAGGGCATCATCATTTTCCATCCTGGATGATAGGTTTCTTGCGTAAGCTTCTGCGGAGAACTGACGATTGACGCCGATATCGGAGGCGTGTGATGACACTAAGAACCATCGATTTATCTGCACAGTCTGAAATAGTAACGCTATATCGTCACGTGTGTAGCCGCCTTAAGGCCATTACAGCTACGCCGGGACGGGTAGGTGAGCTCACGGGCTCAACCCGAGAAAACTCCCTTTGTTCGAAAGCAGTCCAATAGTTTTTACGTGAAAGATAAACGAAGATCGTTTTACCCTTGCTGTTAATTAGAGGATAGGATAATATTAATAGGATCGTTGAAAAAGTCATGCCTATCTAATAATCTTTAACCGTTTCCTTCCAGATTCCATAACTGTAAACCCCACAAGCTCCCAAAACCTATTCCCAAACCCACGACTCTGGAACCATATTTCTGATCGCCTAATTACACTAGCTCGTAATATCGTCAAGGATAATGTGAGTCGACTATTATCAAAGCCGGCAATCTGACTTTTGGACAATGATTGGTAAATCAGAAAAACGAATTATTGACTTTGTATTCCATTCGCAGTCACAAAACTCTTCGGAACGACATCTTAGATAAATAACAGGTTAACTATTAACCTTTATTTAATGCAGGTTTTGAACCGTATTCTTTGAAGGAGACGATTATATTCAAATAAATCTGTATTGACATTTCAATAATTTTTTTTGTCCAAATGCACAGATTGCCACCTTTGATAATAGACGACTCATGTATAGTAACGTAATAAAACTGTTTAGTCAAGAGAATGTGTCATTTAAAGATTTTTATATAATATTAACTTTATTTTTAAACTAGCGACCCGCCCTCACTTCGCTTCGGAAACATTAAATTTTATTATTGATAGCTGAATCCCACGATGTTACCCGCGGTTATTACCGTACCGCGAAGGACGCCGCGGGGCGAAGCTAGTCTAAAAAACAGTAGCCTAAGTTACTTCTCATATGATCAACTGCTTATCAGTGAGTCTCAAAATCGGCCCAGCCGTTCCAGAGATTAGCCGGAACAAACAGACAGACAATAATAATAAAAAAATGTGTGCGTGTACTAGTGTACACACGTAAGAAGTGAAACTTGTTTATGGCCTTATTTTTCGAAAAATGATCTACATGCAACTTTCTAGAAATTGGTTAAATAAAGTTAAATTAGATAAAGTTTAAACAAAAGGATTTTATTATCATAGACATGAATACAAAAAAGTTAAATTAGATAAAGTTTAAACAAAAGGATTTTATTATCATAGACATGAATACAAAACAGATGGCGCGTAACGGAAAAAAGTGACGCGTAACCGAAAAATGTGACGGTAAATTTTTTTCCAACGCCGATAAGGAAGTTTCACTTCAATAAAAGATATATATGTAATGTGGTATACATACTTACGCATTTAGTAAAAAGTAGTTATTTTATTATTACAAACAGACACTCCAATTTTATTTATTTGTATAGACATAATAAAAGCGATATAAAGTCTTTCAAAACATTTCAGTTTGGAGGAATGATGTTCCTACCTTCCTTCGTTAAATACAGCGACACACTAAATGCACAGTCGCATCTGTACATACGTCAAGCACGAAAATCTATTGAATCCGTAATGTAAATGCATCGAGTCCTCGATACGAAAACGGATCGTTACATTAGACTTAGACGGTAGTACTCGATAGCCAGCCAGCCTTCGAGATTTACGTGACCGCATGTCAAAACAGTTTTCGTGCTCTCGATTATGAGTTTCGAGCTTCGAGAACGCGACGACTCGATTGCGAAACGATCGTAAGTTCATTCGTGCTGCTGAATTTTACAGCTATGACATCACTATAGGGCGCAGGTCTGTGTGTCAGGCAAAACGACAATGATGATGATCAATCAAGCAGTGGGATGATTGGAATCGGCAAACTCGAAGATTTGGATTATTTATTTATTTATTACACTTCATGTAAAATTTACAATGGCGGACTTAATGCCTAAGGCATTCTCTACCAGTCAACCAAAGGTAGTGCAGAGTGGATAGTGGTAGGTGCAATGAAATTTATATTAAGTTACAAAAACTATATACATACATACATACATATAACAGTTTATATAGTATTAAATGGATATATATAATAAATTAATATTATATATTAATAAATTAATAAGGTTTATAAATTAATATTTAAAAATTCCTACCTTTTTTTACTGATTTTACCTTTTTTTTATCGATGCCATATTTTAGCTATGACGTCACAATATGGCGCAGGTCCGTGCACATTCTCATTTGAAACGCATTATATCTTTGACAGTTTCTTAATGTGTAAATGATGTTCATTATAACGTGAGAACACAGGATAAAGTTTCATTTTATGATGAGAGCTGGTAACACAGAGTTATCGAGAGAATTAAGTCTGTCACTTTTCTTAGTATGAGAATTGACCGAGATTGTGCGATAGACATTGTCAATGTTAGCTAGGGCTTATTTTTATTGCTCAGATGTGTGGACGAGCTCACAGCCCACCTGGTGTTAAGCGGTTACTGGAGCCCATAGACATCTACAACGTAAAAGCGTCACCCACCTTGAGATATAAGTTCTAAGATCTCAGTATAGTTACAATGGTACCTACCCATGCGGACTCTCAAGAGGTCCCACCACCAGTAATTACGCAAATTACAATTATGCGGGTTTGATTTTTATTACACTATGTTATTCCTTCACCGTGGAAGAAACTCTTTTTACGGCCGGTAGGGGGCGCTGTTTCAATCCTATACAAATTTTTTTTTCGGTACCGATACGAATACTTTATCGATAGTCATTCGTGCTCGCCCCTCTGGATCCAAAATGGAATGGAACAGATGTCACAGTAACCCTTATCACACGCGGCGCTGTCACGAGCGACCCACGCTACGTTGGTCCGCCGCATCCAACGGCGAGGTTGGGTACGAAGGTGACTCCGACTCCCACTAGTGATCCTACGGGTGGTAAAAAAACAGTGACAAATAAAATCTATTTCGAAATTCTAACGAAACTAACTATGGAGCGACAATCGAACTATTTTTAACCGACTTAAAAAAAGGCGGAGGTTGTCGATTTGGTTGTATTTTTTGTTTAGTTTACCTTGGAACTGATTTTGATGATTCTTGCTTCAGATGGTCCCATTTCAATTTTATCAAAGTTTTTGATTTATCCTTAATCCTTTCAGTTCGTCGATAGATCGACTGTATTGATGCGTATAAAGTGCGCAGCGTCTGAATAGCGACTTTTTGCAGTTTCATTATAGCTAATAGGTATTGTCCTGTACGGACGTGTCTTCGCGCGCTTGTATAACTTTTTTAATAAGTAAATAACCATTTAAAATTATTTTGCTGTGAATTTAACATTGATTTTTGTATTGTTTTTAAATTGTAAGACATCTGAAAATCCTAATTTGTAACATTCAATATTTATAAGGTCTCTCCCGTGGCCTCTTTGTTTATTATTCACAATTGGAATTTGTAGACTGTAGCTCCATTGTGAAAGTTCATTGTAAGAGGAATCCGTTACCAGGAATAACGTGTGTTCCCAGAATACCGTCTGCCTCTTGTCTAAGAGACAGATCAATATGAGGCCGTCAGCGCAAAAGTGGCCATAGCCTACCTGAGTTAGTATGGAGATAATGGGGTTTGAATTAACTTTTACAACTGCTTCGTAGGTAAAAATAATATGCGCAGAAAGATTTTTTTAAAAGTCATATTTTTTTTATGAATGACGGATTACTGGTGGCCCCGAGGCCTTTCCAGTTTCACCAGGACAGGTGGGCGAGCAAAGGCTCAGCCAAGAGGGGTGGGATTTGCTAAAACCTGCCCGGGCGCCTCCAAAGGTTACCTAACAACTCAAGGGCAGCTGCTTCGGGAATGAATCTACTATCGCCTTGGAATCGCGACTCGCTGAGAAGATCCAACGAGAAATTCGGCGGGCTGATGCATGGGTTAGATTGCACGTCGAACTCTTTGCCGAGTTCGATGGGTTACCAGACAAAGTCATCTGTTTATCTATGAGTGAAACTAGGGATAGGCCAGTTTTGCATCAAAATTTATTATGTTTTGTGAGGGGTATTTATTGTCAGTAGTACCTTAAGTGAAGTGGTTTTTAAGGTTTCTTAAATCAATAGACGTTGATTATAAATTATTCTACTGTTAGATTGATAAATTACTTAACAAAAT